TGATAGAGGTATATAAAATCATGAGTGGTGTGGAGAGGGTGAATAAAGAAAAGTTATTTATTAGTTCCCATAATAAAAGAACTAGAGGACACCAAATGAAATTGATGGGTAGCAGGTTTAAAACTAATAAAAATTCTTCTTCACACAGCGTGTAGTCAACCTGTGGAACGCCTTGCCAGAGGAGGCTGTGAAGGCTAGAACTATAACAGAGTTTAAAGAGAAGCTAGATAATTTCATGGAGGTTAGGTCCATAAAAGGCTATTAGCCAGGGGATAGAAATGGTGTTCCTGGCCTCTGTTTGTCAGAGGCTGAAGATGGATGGCATAAGACAAATCATTTGATCATTGTCTTGGGTCCACCCCTCTGGGACACCTGGTGCTGGGCACTGTTGGCAGACAGGCTACTGGGCTAGATGGACCTTTGGTTTGACCCAGTACGGCCATTCTTGTGTTCTTATGTTCAAAGGGTTTTCCTTGAGAGTCAAAAGCCTTTGATGTGGTCAGCCTATGCTGCCAAATGGATTCTTTTCTCACTGTGGGTGCAGCAAAGGCAGATTGTTCCATCCAGGCTTCCCTTCTCAGGAAATCCTGGAGTAACTACTCTATCTGAAGCAGCAAGGTCTTTCTTTGGCCACCGTCAGGGTCCACCTGTTGGCCATTTCTGCATTTCATCCTCCCATACAAGGTCATTCTGTTTTCTCCCATGATGTCACCTCCTTTTTCCTGAAGGCCTTAGAATGACTCTTCCCCCAGACCACAGACACTCTCCCGCAGTGTATCTGAATCTGGTCTTGGCGTGGCTCACGGGGCCTTTGTTTGAGGCCCAGGCCATGTGTCCCTTGTTGCTGTCCTCTTTCAAGGTTGCCTTGCTGATTGCCATCATATGGGCTAGATGGGTGTCAGATCTCTGAGCCCTTAAGTCATACCTGCATTCTTCCTTCCTACGGTGGACTCTGCCTTGGACATGGATCAAGACATTTTTCTGCCAGTCTTCTGTCCGAAGCCTCATGTGACCAATGAGAAGAGGTGGTTCCTACTCACTGGATGTGGGAGAGGGGTGAGGAGGAAGGCTGAAATCTTGTACTTCTTGCAAATGGTGCTCCTCCACTGGAGAGCACTATGGTGTGTGCTAGCATAGGTAGAGGATGATATTGTAATACTTCCTGTCCTCTGGATCCATTCATGAGTATCTTATGCACACTAAGGTTAGCACTGATCATAGAACACTAGAACTGGAAGGGTCCATAACTGAGAGGTCATCAGGTCCAGTCCCTTGCCCTCACGGCAGGACCCAGTACCATCTAGACCATCCCTGATAGATGTCTGTCTAACCTGCTCTTATATATCTCCAGAGATGGAGATTCCACAACCTCCCTAGGTAACTTATTCCAGTGTTTAACCATGCTGACAGGAAGTTTTTCCTAATGCCCAACCAAAACCTCCCTTGCTGCAGCTTGCTGATGAAGCTGTTATAGTGGTAGTAAAAAGGTTGGCTAATAAGTTTGTAATAGGTCAGCATTCTAGCTTTTCATTTTGTATTGTAGTAATCATATACTCATTCTAGCTAATATTGGAAAGCCATGTGAATTTTATTACTGGAGGGTATGCCTTCAAGTTATATTTTATTCTTGAATAATGCCAGTAGACAAGAACAGTCATGAGGGGCCAAAGTGTCATGTTTGGCTTAAAGTTTATATGACAGATGAAGCACTTGTTGGGCCTGTTTGGCTGGAGAGGTTAATTCAAATCGCTCTTTGAGCCAGAGTAAGTAATAGGCTTTGAGGGTGGACGACCATGGTGATGAGTGTACAGAGTTTTGTACATGATATTTTTTTCTGTTTGAGTTTTTTCCATAGCGTGTTTTTATTATAATTTTCACATTTTGTCAACTACTTCTTCCATCTGTAGGCTGCAGTACCATCTGTTGGACAAATGCTTGTAAGTCAGGAAGCCATAATTGTATTTCTGAGTAGCTCCACCCATTTCTGGGTCAAGGGTATCACCAATTCTCCTGCTTCCCTCAGATTCTTCAATTTAGCTTGGTTTTGTAATATAAATGTTTTTAAAACCAACACCTCTCACTGTACCCTCCTCTCCCCATGAAATAGAAAAGGGAAAGTGGCAGAAAAGCTTTAAAATAGTGTATTTAACACACATGCCCAATACCTTTGCTTCTGTATCTTATTTTCCTCACTATTCCCCCATCTCTCTCTCTTTCTCTCTCACTTTTTCTCTCTCACACTTTTCAAAGGCTTTGGTATCCATCATTTCAGTCATGCACTGTGTGAGAGATGGGCAATAACATGGCAGAGGCTTGCCAGGATTAGGCCCTGGCAGGATGCCGCCGCTGTACTTAACTGCATGGCCTCAGATCACTGTTCCAGGTTAATGAGAGTGGTGGTAAGTGGCACAGATCAGCACACTGCTTACCGTTGCTACGATTGGCTGGGGATGGTGATCCACTGCCAATGGGAGCTGTGGTTGCTGGTACCTGCCGCAGTGCAGGTAAATATAGCAGTAGAGGTCCACTATAAGCTAACCCTGGTGGACCTGATCCAGTCCATGGGCTAGTACCTGCCCACCCTTGCACTATGCCCAATTATATTGCTGTATAAATAAGGTATAATACATGGTTTACCTCACTGGAATTTACCAATATCCTTCAGAAGAATTGGAACCCATATTAGAAAGAGCATTCTACAGTTTCTAGTCCCTTCTGTTGCTAAAGAGTGGAGGAGCTTCGGGGGTAGCCAAGTTAGTCTGTTACAGAAAACAGCAAGCAAATGGTCTGGGTAGTACTTTATAGACTAACAAAACATGTAGATGGTATCATAAGCTTTTGTGGACGCAGCCCAGTTCTTCAGATGACCGGAGTTGTGACTAGAGGATAAGAAATCTCAAAATAAATAGGAGAAGGGAAGGATGGGGGAGAAAAGAAAGATACTCGGTGGCCCACCCCACTATCTCTATACATAAAGTATACATAAAGGAGAAAGGGTGCTAAACCTGAATAGATAAAGATCAAAGTCAGTGGATGGATTGCTGTGGCAGGAAGGATACCATTCAGAAAGCTGTTAGCAACTTCAGTGTCTTCTGTTTTGGTGATAAAGGCTCCGCCACCCCAAATCTTGATTAAGTCCATGAGTAATATAATTGAATTTGCATATGTATTGTAATTCCAAGCTTTCCCTGTGGATTTGACTTGAGGCGCTGGCCTGTGACAAGACCGCCATCTTCAGATCTGTGAGATTATGGTTAGGTAAACAGAAATGTTCTGCCACTCACTTCTGAGTATTTTCTATATGTATATCCAATTTGTGTCCATTGATTCTTTCATGTAGAGAACATCCAGTTTGATCAATATATATAGTAGAGGGACACTGTTGGCATTTGATGGCCTAGATCAAATTACTAGATGAGCAGTCAAATGACCCTTTGATTTTGTGTCTTTTGTTGTTTGCTCCAGTGATGAATTTGTCAGTGTAGATATGTGGGCAGAGTTGGCATCTTTTCTGGTTGCAGGGCTGGGTTCCTGGAGGCTTATGATGTGGTTGTGTGGCATGGTTATCAGAAAGAATACGTTTCAGGTTAGGGGGAGTGGAAGTTATGGAAGTCTGAACTGAGACTGAGAAATATGTAAGTAATCTAGTAAGTATTGTACCTGAACAAGGACAAGATATTTAGATTAAGCTGAAATAGGTCAAAAGCTGAAGAGGCACAACACAGGAGAAGAGGGTAGGCAGTGCAAGAACACTATATTTTAAGTGTCACGTGGTATTATCATTAACTTTAAATTATAGCCTAGAGGTGCCAAATGAAATTAAGGCTCCATTGCCCTAGCTACTAAATTAACAGATTCTGAGAGACTGTTTTTGAACTTGCAGTTTAAACTAAAAGCATAAATGGGGGAAAATGTTTTGGTAGAGCTGAGAAGTGAACTCAGGTATTATGAATTCCGGTACAGTGCCTTAGTCATAAAAGACCATTGTCCATCTCTAATCTACCTTTGGGAATTTATATTGATGTAATTAATTAGTGAAAGAGGAGAGGTCTAACCAGGAATTTTATTTAAAGCATTAATTCTAAATCAGCCAATACTGACAGAACAAGTGGTTCTTTGATAATCTTGCTGGATAAAGTGCATGTATGTGGGAAATCTTCCAGGTTATAAAACAATAATTGTAACTTAATAATAAGGGTTGGATAAGGCTAGTGTTAATTTTATTAGCCTGTGATGAAAAGGGGTTATTTAAAAATTAGGATTAGCATATGATAAGTGTCCAAACAAAAAAGAATTCATACTTTTATAATTTTAAATAATTGCATATTCCTAACTTGTAACAAGAGGGTACATTTATTGGAGTATAGGACTGTCCTGATTTGGGCTGTTAATTCTCAGCTTTACCTTTTCCGATAAAGTGATTGAAAACTCTACACTAATTTAGGGGACACCACCAGAATACTTAATTTTTCATGTTTTTTTTTTAAATTGGAGTTTGTGTATGAAGCAGGTGTTCTCAGTTTACTTATTTTCTCCTGGAGATTATATTTAGTGCAGTATGAAGTGATGCCTTATTAATAAAGAGGTCATTTCAATGTAAATTAATACAATAATCAGTCTGTCAGAAAAGGTTTAATGTCTAAGTTCAGAATATCCCCAATGGACTTTAGGGGTAACTGCTGTTTGGATAATAGAAAACTTCTTTTGGTAGCTTGCCAACCCAGGAGCAAAGCAAACTAATGAGGGGAGGATAGAGTTACTCTTCATAGTTGGAGTCATGTAGGTGAGCATAGTTACTATTAAAAATGGATGGAAGAACCAGGATAGTGTGGCTGAAAATATCACAAAATAAATCCTGCATTCAGTAAATAATGTACCATCCTTGAAATAATTAAGTGTGTTTTAATGTATGGATATCTGATCATTACTTAATCTCTATCAATTACTGTAATTTACAATTTTATGTAAATAATACTGTTTGTTTTGTGCATTACTTGTAGACTTACCAAAACTGCTCCTGTGTGGGGAAGCCAAAAAAATTACCTGCAACAGAAGATGTCTCTTTTGAGGTTGTGGCTAGGAAATGCAAAACACAGTGCACATTCTTGCCTCTATTCCTGACCGTTTTCTTTCTTGCTGTTGTTTTCACTTTTATGGCTGTTACTCCCACTACTGTGGCCATCCTCAGGTATTTCATTTTAATACTTATCAATAACATATTTCTGGTTCTATAGGAGAGTGTAAATTTAAATTTATCATGGCATGTGTTCTTCCCTAGAGCTGAAGAAGAGCTCTGTTGTACCTCCACCAACAAAAGTTGGTCCAGTAAAGATATTACCTCACCTACATTGTTTCTCTCCGTGGCAAAGAATGCAATTATTCTGACAACATGCAAAATAAAGATTTTTAAATATGCTTTTACTCTTTTTGTACAGGATCAGCTCAGTAAATAAAATGCATAAGGAATGCTTTGTATCCCTGTCTGCTAATATCTCACCTCTAATAGTTACAGTGTAGTACAACCAGTTTTAAGTCAGTGGGGTCCTTGAACATTGGATGAAGAGACTACTGTCATCTGTAGATACTTTACTGTTTCACAACATTTCTTCTCTGATAAAAATAGAAATAACATCCTTTCCACTTAGTGGCCCTGCTTTTAAAACAAGGTTCCCCTTTAAAGATGTATACAACACTCCATCAATAAGAGAGGAAGGGTAACATCTTTTTATCCTTACATCTTCTATGATCTCATTTTTTGATGAAGCACCAAACCTTGCCTGCATCACTGAGACATAGTTCAGTGCCTCTTCCAACCCTATCTTAATAAAGCTCATCTTCCTTATATATAACAAGCTAAGACCGTATCTAGAATGCACCAGACTTTTCACCATCTTACTTTACTCAACGTCACCCCTGCAAAGAACAACTCCCCTGGACATGGCATTGTATGCCAGTGGTTCTCAACAACTGGTCTATGGACTAGTGCCAGCCCCTGAGACCACCCTGTCTCAGTTTATGAAGGCAGCAAGTGTTATACTTGAAAGAATTTCATAGGATCTTTTTAGGGGGATAAAGCAAAACTCCACATTTATTGACAATGTAACATATTCACACATATCCACACACAAACCCTGTCTTGTTTTTTCTTAAAGTTAACCAGACTGTTGCACACAGTAACCCACTGGCCTGGTGAGTTAAGTGTGAGGAAGAGAAGCAGGGGCTTCTCTCGGTCTGGATTGCTGCTCTGATTTTGACAAGACGAGACCCAGAGATTTATTCAAGATGCCCTATCTTTTATAGTACTTTACTTCCATTCAGGCCTATGCATATTGTTGTGTCAGCTCTTGACCAATCACCATTTTAACATCTGTTTATCTGGAAGTCATTCTTCTTTACCATATGATATCAGTATGTTGATGGTTCGTTCCCAGTGTTATTTCAAGGCTATCTTGTTTGTAAAAGAGTGCTTGCTTCTTAACACTCCAAGGCCATCCATATGTCCTCCATAGGTCTGCTTTGTATTGGACCCAATTTATGGTACCTTAACGCCTCTAAGTCTTCCAGTTCTGGGCCCCTTACTCCCTTCCACTGTCTGGACTCTGAAATTGCTGGGTCTACAAGTTATCATCTTTCCAAGCACTCACATTTAAAACTCATTCACTCCCCTCCCCAGGAACTACACAGTCATTCCACACATGGGATGCAATTGTCCATACAAAAAGTATCGATCTAATTCCTAATACAAGTCTCTGTTAATACAAACTTTTAATCATTTATCATATTTTCTTTATAACACAATCTATATTCCAGTACTCCTAAGAGCAACAGTGTGATCATGGTGAATCACCAGGATCCTTCTGATCTCTTTCTGTCTTGACATCAGATATCACAAACAGTTTGCCTGATTGATCTTTATTAAAGGCCTAGAAGACTGTTCTTCCCTGCTAACCAGAGAAGGGTGTCCAACAGAGTTATAGTTGTTCAACATTTAATCTCATACTACCCAGTAAGCATATTACATAAAACATTGTAAAACTCTGGTTTATACAAGCTGGCCCCTGGTTTATACAAGAAATGCTTTAGTACAGTCTTTGCTGGACTGCGGGGATCCAAGATCTCTTCTGCAAATATGAGTGTAGAGACCCAGAAATTGAAAAATCTCTCCTGGTATCATTGGATATAGCAAGACAGAAACTATGGCTCAAGCAGATATACTTGGAATCTGTTGAGATATCTGGGGGCTGCAAATGCCAAACATGCCATTAGTTCATAGTTTGAAAGTCAGTGCCATTGTTGCTAAATTTTTGTGGGTATCAAAGCCACCAGTGAACAATCAGTATTACAGATAAGATTGGCATCAACTTTGGCAAGCAATGTCCGCATGTACTCAGTTGTTCCCATGGTTTGGACCATTCATAAGTAAAGAGATTGATACAGCCATGAAACTGGAAGAAACAGTGGAAAAAAGATGGCATCTGCCATAAGTTCACTGGCATGGAATTGGTTGATGGAGCTTGTCACCAATATCCTGGAGACTAGTGAGATTCCCTGTTAAAGCCCAGAAAATCTGTAGCTGACCCTCCTAGTTATAATAAGGCAATCTCCTCTTGAGCACCAGCTACAAGGTGACAGAGAGCAATCCACACATCTGTTGGGTGTGGCGTATTGTCCCATGTAATGGTACTTAGGCTACTTAGTGAGAAAAAGAATGAGTGTGTTCTACAGTCTTACCTGAGAGCCAGCTGATGTTCAGCTCAAGCAGTAAAGGCTCATGCACTAAGCTGCACAGGTCTCAGGTTTGACTGTGGCTATACAAAAGCACATATTCTGAATTGAACTGGGCCCACATTTCAAAGCCTTTCATCATAAGTGACACACACAATTCAAATATCCCTTTTGTTCCCAAATTCCTGCCAAACATGCATTTTCCTTCCCTACCTCAAGCTTATTCCTGACTTCAAAGGAGATATGTTAAAGACTGCAGGAATCTGTTGCTATGTATTTTATGTGAAAGGTGCTCTGGTTCAATCAGGAGTGGCAGTATAAAATTCTAAGGTATGTGCATGTTAACCACAACTAGGTTGTCTTGCCAGTCTCTGAAATGCCTCCAATCTTTGATCCTAAACACATGCTGCTATATAATGGTTGTACCATTATATTCTAAATTGATATGTAGACTAATTATGTGGGGCTTACCTTACCATTGAAATGAGATTTCATTAATACCTTGTTAAAGCAGCTGTTCATCCATGCAGAGCTACAATATGGATGTTAATAAAAGTCACAATATTCTGAGCATGATAATTGCAGCCCTATTATATAGCTTCTAAAGCCTCATAGCCAAATTTAGAAAGAGTATGTTACAATTTTTACTGTTTAAATTTCACAAGGTATTTGAAAGGCATATCATCCTTCAGAATTACTCTATATACCATAAAAAGCATTACCACTACTGAAATAATGTATTAATATGTTACATTGTACTGTATTGTCATAGAATCAGAATACTAGGACTGGAAGGGACCTCAAGAGGTCATAGAGACCAGTCCCCTGCCCTTATGGCAGGACCCAGTACTGTGTAAACCATCTCTGATAGACATTTATCCAACCTACTCTTAAATATCTCCAGAGATGGAGATTCCACAACCTCCCTAGTCAATTTATTCCAGTGTCTAAACACCCTGACAGTTAAGAACTTTTCCCTAATGTCCAACCCAAACCTCATTTGCTGAAGTTTAAGCCCATTGCTTCTTGTTCTATCCTCAGAGGCCAGGAAGAACAATTTTTCTCCCTCCTCCTTGTGACACCCTTTTAGACACCTGAAAACCAGTATCATGTCCCCTCCCAATATTCTCTTTTCCAAGCTAAACAAGCCAAATTCTTTCAGTCTTCTTTCATAGGTTCTCCAGACCTTTAATAATTCTTGTTGCTCTTTTCTGGATCTTTTCCAATTTCCCAACATCTTTCTTGAAATGTGGTGCCCAGAATTGGACACAGTACTCCAACTGAGGCCGAATCAGTGCAGTGTAGAGTGGAAGAATGACTTTTCGTGTCTTGCTCATCACACACCTGTTAATGCATCCTAGAATCATATTTGCTTTTTTTGCAACAGCATCAAACTGTTGAGTCATAGTTAGCTTGTCCACTATAACCTCTAGATCCCTTTCTGCCGTATTTCTTCCTAGACAGTCGCTTCCCATTCTGTACGTGTGAAACTGATTGTTCCTTCCTAAGTGGGATAAGGGAGATTTGTTTGGAGCTGGGCTCCCAATGCTGAGGATGCTGGCCTCGGGGGAGCGGGAAGTGCACTGGAATCGGGGGTGGAGGGCGCTAGGGGGGCCTGGATCTGAGGCAGGTGGGAGTGCACTAGGATGGGGGAGTGCTAGGGGAGGTCTGGCTCTGACGCAGGAGTGAGTGCATTGGGATGGGGAGACTGGGGGGCATGGCTCAGGGGGAGGGGTGGGTGCATTGGCGGTTAGCGTGCAGTCCCAAACTGGACAAAGTGCTGCAACTTTTGCTTAAGGACTTTGGCTCCCCCCTCTCTTTTTTTTCTTAACTTTGGAGCAGTGAAGGTGGGGGGGGGGGTCACACAAATTCATTTAGCATTTTAGGGGGTCGCAGTATCACAAAGTTTGAGAACCTGTGGCCTAGTTTATTGATAAGATCATGTGAGACCGTATCAAATGTCTTACTAAAGTCTAGGTATACCACGTCTACTGCTTCTCCCTTATCGCCAAAACTTGTTATCGTATCAAAGAAAGCTATCAGATTGATTTGATATGATTTGTTCTTTACAAATCTATGCTGGCTGTTCCCTATCACCTTATTATCTTCCAAGTGTTTGCAGGTGATTTCCTTAATTACTTGCTCCATTATCTTTCCTGGCACAGAAATTAAACTGACTGATCTGTACTTTCCTGGGGTTTTTTTTCCCCTTTTTATAGATAGGCCCTATATTTGCCCTTTTCCAATGTTCTGGAATCTCACCTGTCTTCCATGATTTTCCAAAGTTGATAGCAAAGGCTCAGATACCTCCTCTATCAGCTCCTTAAGAATTCTAGGATGCATTTCATCTGGCCCTGGTGACTTGCAGGCATCTAACTTTTCTAAGTGATTTTTAACTTGTTCTTTTTTTAGTTTATCTTCTAAACTCTACCCCCTTCCCACTAGCATTCACTATGTTAGGCGTTCCTTCATCAGACTTCTTGGTGAAGACCGAAACAAAGAAGTCATTAACCACCCCTGCCATTTCCGCATTTCCTGTTACTGTTTCTCCCTCCTCACTGTGCAGTGGGCCTACCCTGTCTTTGGTCTTCCTCTTGCTTCTAATATATTTATAGAATGTCTTCTTGTTTCCTTTTATGCTTGTAACTAATTTGAGCTCATTTTGTGTCTTTGCCTTTCATATCTTGCCCCTGCATTCCTGTATTGATTGCCTATATTAATCCTTTGTAATTTGCCCTAGTTTCCATTTTTATATGACTCCTTTTTTATTTTTAGCTCGTGCAAGATCTCCTGGTTGATCCAAGGCGGTCTTTTGCCATATTTTCTATCTTCTCTACGCAGTGGAATAGCTTGCTTTTGGGCCCTTAACAATGTCCCTTTGAAAAACTGCCAACTCTTTTCAGTTGTTTTTCCCCTCAGTCTAGCTTCCCATGGGAACTTACCTACCAGCTCTCTGAGCTTACCAAAATCTGCCTTCCTGAAATCCATTGTCTCTAATTTGCCGTTTTCCCTTCTACCATACCTTAGAATCATGAACTCTATGATTTCATGACCACTTTCACCCAAGCTGCCACTTTCAAATCAACCAGTTCCTCCCTATTTGTTAAAATCAAGTCTAGAACAGCTTTCACCCAGTAGCTTTTTCAACCTTCTGAAATAAAGTGTTGTCTTCAATGCAGTCCAAGAACTTATTAGATAGTTTGTGCCCCACTGTGTTAGTTTCCCAACATATATCTGGATAGTTGAAGTCCCCCATCACCACCAAATCCTGCACTTTGGATGATTTTGCTTCATTTAATTTACATTCTGTTCTTGGTGCTATAGTGTGAGTCCATGTGGGAATTGCATTGGCAATTTGTTAGTCTGGAGGCAGAGAAAGGGCACTTGTGTTTGGATTGGGGATCAGGGAAAAACAGTATTTTTGCATGATTATATATTAGGGTACATCTACACTAGCCCCCTAGATCGATCTAAGGAGGCTAATGTGGGCAACCGGAATTGCAAATCAAGCCCGGGATTTAAATATCCCACGCTTGATTTGCATGTTCCCGGCCGGTCGCCATTTTAGAAACTGACTAGCCCGAAGTAACTGCCCATGTCTACACGTGGCAGTAAAATGGGCTTCTGATTTAAAGCCCTTAATTTGAATTAGGTGGTAAACCTCATTGCAGGAGGAATACCACCTAATTCAAATTAAGGGCTTTAAATCAGAAGCCCATTTTACTGCCACGTGTAGACATGGGCAGTTACTTCGGGCTAGTCAGTTTCTAAAATGGCGACCGGCCGGGAACATGCAAATCAAGCACGGGATATTTAAATCCCGGGCTTGATTTGCAATTCTGGTCACCCTCATTAGCCTCCCTAGATCGGTCTAAGAGGCTAATGTAGACGTACCCTTACAGAAATCATTTTTTGTCTCTTTTTCAAGTAAATTCTATTTAAATTTTTTAGGTTGCCTACACTCAATATATAGACCAAAGTATTAACAAATAACTTATCAAAAGTCAAAGTGTAACTTACAAAAAAAAAAACAGACTCTAAAACACTCCAAGATGAAAAACATCTATAAATAGTTAAATTTACATTTGATAAAGCCTTTAAATTGCAATTTTATTTGTAGGTGTGTTCCAGATAAACAGCGTTCATTTTCTCTGGGAGTTCAGTCGCTGTTTCTACGAATAGTAGGTATGACATTTATGATCTTTTGCATAAATACCTATCATAGCATAACTTTTTGCATAAATACCTATCATAGCATAAAATGTCTAATTGGCAGTCTTCCTTTTTCAGTACCCAAACTGACTAATTTTAAAGAAAATGTGTATGAATAAATTTGCTGTAGTCTCTCTCTCTCTCTGAAAGTTCAAGCCAAACTCAAGAACTCGATTGTGGTATTTCTCTTATTTTTAGCATTAATGCTGTCATCTCTATAAATAGTTGTGTAAATAGGCTAAAAGGACATGCCAGAGGAAAAAAGTCCCAAGTCTAAAAGAATAATATTTAAATTTGCATCCCCTTAATAAAAGCATCCTTTCTCCTCCCCAAAACTGCATGTCCATTTTTGAAAGTTGCAGAGATTTAAGGCTTTACTACTCAAAAATACTGTGGTTCTGTATTGAGATCCGTTAGCCATGTTTTTATTACATAATGTAATATTGATGAAAATAGCAGCACTTTAGAAGATACAAGCAAAATGGTAAGTATATGAAACCTGCTGCATTGTTTTGTTACTTCTAATGGGCACATAAGCATATTTTAGAAGTCTACCAGGCAGATAAACTGCATAATTAGGTATTCATTTCCAAACCCACTTTCAAATAGTCTTGACTGATTTCTGGTGTCTTCATTTTTTGCAGGTAATTGATGTGCATGTAGAAAGAGTCTACTTATCCGGGGGAGGGATAGCTCAGTGCTTTGAGCATTGGCCTGCTAAACCCAGGATTGTGTGTTCAGTCCTTGAGGAGGCCATTTAGGAATCTGGGGCAAAATCTGGCAAGAGTGGTACATGGTCCAGCAGGGGACTGGACTCAATGACCTTTCAAGGTCCCTTCCAGTTCTAGGAGATAGGTATCTCCATTTATTTTTAAAACATGGAGGCATAGGCTCTTACCATGTGATGTTGTGCTCAGGACCTATTGTAATAATTGGACTTACAAATTTCCCTTACGTTTTGCAGCTAGGCTTACAAATAAATGGAGATTCATAGTGTCAGACTGTCATAATTAATGCTAATGGGAAAATGGCAAATAGGAGATGGAAAAACTAAATTAATGCACATAAAAAGGCCACCCAATATAATTCAATTTCTGTTTTAAAATAATGCCTGGTAAACAAGACAATGTGGTACTGGGAATTAATGAACCTCCATTGGTGTATTGGAAATTAGTTTTAAATTAAGGACAAAATAATGAGGAAAAGAGGTATTCTACCAACCTTTTTGAAGTCCTTAAAAATGGTTATGGTGAGAAAAATTGGTTACTTGAGGAAACTTCATCATCATGGCTGCCACCTCTACTGTCTTCTAGGACCCCAGGCCTTCATCATTCTGGTCTTAACAAGTGTCTTGACCAGACCTCCCCAAAACAACCTCCAAATAACATTGCTATCAACTCTAGCTAAATTGGAAATGCTACCTAAAATAAAACAAAATAGGAATCTTACAGCCACAGTAACAACTCTAGCCCAGCTCAGCTAACTTTTCTTTGTTCCCCAAAATAGTTATCTTTAATACCATCCAATAGACTGTCAAACATAGAGTTGGTTCTTTTAAATATTCTCTTCAGTTACAGCAAAAATATTAAATTAGGCTTATTTTAACATTACAATAAAATACTTTAGCTGTTTTTCTTTATTAATTACCAAAAATTAACTAGTACTAAGAAAATTTAAGTCTCTTTATGCAAAATCCCAGATCTTGTTTAGCAGTGTTTAAAGGGAAACAGCAACTACATTATATCAATACCTTTGGTCCATTTATTCCATGGAAATTAACACAAAATACTTATGCCCAAGCAGACCATTGGGTAATTTAGGCCATCTCAAAGTCTGAAACATTACCTCTAGACTTTTATTTATGGGTATATTTTGATATAATTGACACTGGTCTGTTAGCCAAGAAAGTTTTTTTTTTCCAAAAAACCTTTGCTTCTCAGAGAATTAGGGGAGAGGAAAGATGTGTTAGAACTGAGCCGCCTGGTAAAACCTGCACCAAAGAATGTAGAGCTTTCTTTCCCGTAACCACTGAGTAATTGACCACTGAGCTGAATTACCTAAGGTCAATACACTAAGTAATTTGGAACTGGGGCACAGATACTGGGTTTTAATTTTGCCTAGAGTGCTAAACCTCTCATTCAGCCCTAGGTCCCTCCCCAACTCCACCCCATCCCCACTGTTTCCTCACTCCTCCTCCTTACTCTACCTCCCAGCACCACCAGAATCCTGTAGAGGCTGTTCTACAATGTGCAGGAGGTACAAGTAGGGAGTGCGAGGATTTGCTCAGAAGGGGCTACTACTTCTAGGGCAGGTGGGTGCTAAGCACCCGCTAATTTTTTCTGTGGGTGCTTCAGCCCTGGTGTGCACACAAAATCAGTGACTATGAATTGGAGTGATGAATGAACAGTATATATGATACAGAACAATATATAATTTTCACTTGGTCTTCATTTAGGAAATTGTATTTTCAGAAGCACAGTCCATTTCGATCAGCTGTAAGAGGATAGCTCATTTCTATGAGTATTTTCAGAATCCATTGTATAATTAAAGTATTAATTTGCATAATGATTAAAATACCTTAATGCTTAAAAATTATGTACATATTGAATTCCTAATGTATAGCCACCTCTTGGGTAGGAGGTGACAGGATGTGAGAATATTTCACTATAGTGCGGAAGAGAGTAAATATCAATCAATGTAGTTCATCAGAGGGGGTGCACTTCCTCTTTCCCCGGGCCTGTCTGCCTCACTAAGTCATTATCCATTGCTGGATGTGTGGAATCAGCAAGGCAACTAAAGCCATGAACATGGGCCTCTGCTCAGGGCTATACAATTAACACAGTGACTGAGCCCTGTACCTAATCAGGGCAGGGCAGCAAAAAGAATTCAAGGGCTCAGGCTTGCACTCAAACTGAGTAATAAATAATTTGTCCACCCAGAAGAGCAAAGGAGTCTAGGGCTTAGGCCAGTGTTCAGGCTGAGAGACAGTCAAAAAAATAACCCATGTTCTTGTTCAGAGCAGGGTTAAAACTATATCAGGCCAGGTCTTTGTTCAGGCAGAGCTTTAGTCAATTAAGTGGCCCAGAACCTCAGCTCTGTTAGCTTGAGGGAGGGGGGAGGCTGCTACCCAGAAGATGGGTGGCAGGAGGGACACAGCTCCACCCACACTACTACATCCCGGCCAAACGCTCTAACAGTGACAGAGTGGTCTACTATCAAGTCAGCAGGGATTTAGGCTGAAACATGCTGACTCGCCCTCTGTCAGTTTTGAAGTAAAAGAGGGGTCTACCATCCTTGGGCCACTTCCACACTACCCTTTTCAGTGTAACTGTGTATCCAGACTGGTAAGCTAGTGGATGGTGGCCTCCATTGCCAGTAACTACTCTTCGGGTCTGCCAGTGATCTGGACGGTCCGAGCCAGTCCTTTGTTTCCTATGGGCCCATTGCATCCTCCCAGTGCGGGAGCTCAGGGGAAGTGTCTGTACCTTCTGGAGGCTGTGCTTCAAATAGGCGCTCACCTCTGCTATTTATACTTCGTCCCACCCCTTGGGTTCTGGAAGCAGGGTGAGAGTGATCTCTCTGCTTATGAGAGTGAAGAGGCCTACTCCTTCCTCTGTGGGTTTTTGGGCAGCTAGTCCACCTCATTACTATCATGGAAAAAAGGGCAATTTCCTATTCTTATAAAAAGTACTATGGTATCCTTAGCATTCAGATGGAGCAGATGATATCTTTGTTTGAAGGTGAACCACTGGCTGAATCACTCTGAATTTTGTTGATTTAGTTAAAACTATTTCAATTACTTTTGTACATTTGCATGTCTTCTAGGCACTATTCCTGGACCAATTCTGTTTGGTGTGGCAATAGACAGTAGTTGTACTCTGTGGGATATTAATAAATGTGACACTAAAGGAGCCTGCTGGGTCTATGACAACTCAAAAATGGCCTTTATGCTGATTGGTATAAGTAAGTAATTGCATATTTGATATATACATAATACAAATGAGTGTTAAAATCTTTAATTGTAAAAAGCATAGCTATTTTGAATTCCACTGCCATGTAACAACTGAGGAGTAAGAAAACAGCCTAATAATACTATGTCATCAGTTTAAATCATAATCAGCACTTTGCTCACAGATAAGAGAAGTTCCCTCTTCTGAAGGAATTACTATTTACTTAAGACATGATAGCTAAAACTCAGGCAAGAGAAAGGACCACACTTTGGTAGGACGTCTTTGGGGATTATTGAGAATTGAAAGAAATTATGAGATTGTTTAAAGAGGTAGGTTTTTTTAAAAAATAAGCTGAAATTGAATTTTTTCTTTGGTGGATCCATGCCCCTTATTGATTCCTTATGGATGAACAAGAGCCTGAAATATAGTTGGATTTGTGTGGTTGCCTTCCACCTTCCATCCTCACGTTTTTTGTTTTTGTTTTTTGAGGAGAGGTGAGTGCTTCCTTTTGCCATCTTTCCTGATATTTGTTCCATAAATGTCAAATCTGATCATTCCTAGTTTGGCTGGAAGATTTTTAGAGGTCTGATAAATATTGGCACTTTGTCACCTCCTACCTCCTCTGGCACTGAAACAGAGTTCCAAAGAAGACCAAAACCAGAGATTTGATGATTCTGACTAAAAGTAATTTCTGCTGTCAATAAGATTTGATCTGATATTTTTAAGTATGAGTGGGGAACCTTTTTTTGGCTTGGGGGGCCGCTGATCTACAGAAAAATCAGTCAGGGTCTGCACACAATTGAGAAGCAAAGAACCCCCAAACCCTGACTGATGTGGCTCTTGACTGAGAAGGAGAAAGACAATTCCCACATTCCCCTTGCATACCAGAACCTAGGCAGAACAAGGCTAGTAGATTTTGTGTGCTCCAACCCTGAGTCTCAGGGGCTGGATCTAGGCAAGCTGGGGGCTGAATCCAGTCTCTGGGCCTTAGGTTCCCCACCCCTGTTTTAAAGGCACACAGGTGGCTTATGACGTCAGTGATAGTTGCAAGTGAACACCCCCTTTGGCAGTTAGGCTACCTACTTAGGTTAGGGATGTAAGCGAGTAGTCGACTAACCAATGAGCCTAGCCCTGAGTCTCAGGGGCTGGATCTAGGCAAGCTGGGGGCTGAATCCAGTCTCTGGGCCTTAGGTTCCCCACCCCTGTTTTAAAGGCACACAGGTGGCTTATGACGTCAGTGATAGTTGCAAGTGAACACCCCCTTTGGCAGTTAGGCTACCTACTTAGGTTAGGGATGTAAGCGAGTAGTCGACTAACCAATGAGCCTAGGT